GAGACTTCTTTGGCAGGCGGAAAAAAGCGTGTGGAAAAAAAAAATTGTTGCCATTATCCTAAACCCTTAGCTTCAGCGCGAAAAGCCAGCACGAGCAACCCAGGTTTGTTGGGCTGCCACTGCTTTGCCAATTCTACGAGCATGGCATGTTGCCACCAGCCCCTCTCGAACGATTTAAGTGGTGGGGGTTTGGTGCAAAAAGGGTTCCGGGGTTTAGTGCCGGGATGCAAAGAAAAGGTTAGGGAACAGGTGAAGGCAGTCTCGACAAGGCGAGGTATACCGCTCTTGTGCATGTCATATTGCCCCCTCCTGTGCCCGGGAGCTGGCTAGCTTTGCCCAGCGAGTGTTCTCAACCCCAGAGCTGTCAACCTCGAATCCCTAAACCTTAAACCCTTCAAGCCTATAGCAGATTTATTTTTCGAGTTTGATGAACAAGACTTGACCTCGTGGAGCTCAGGACTATGTTTGGTTTGTTGCAGCCTTCGACAACTGGATCCCAAACATCACCGCCAGCTTCGCGGGCACTCCGGACACTTGGACGCAGATTTTGTCGGTTTGACATTTCTGCTCGCCATGCTTCCTTTTTCGTCACGAACACCCATAGGCCTCTAAGTAGTTCCTTTCTATGGTTTATATTTTGAATCCTATAAGGTAATCCCCAAGAGAAACTACTTAGGGGCCTATGGGTAGTTTTAAAGATTGTCCATAACCATGCTTTTCACGCGTGCGTTCTGGGCTCCCTCTTTAACACTCTGAATTGAGATGTTTTCTGCCTTAAACTGATGTCAACCGGTTTTAGGGTGTAGGGTGTGGGGATATGCCATCTCCGATTTTGTTTGCAGCTCTTGCCCGAAAAAAGTTCCTGTCCTTCGAAACCTTAGTCCGTGGCTATTTGTCCCCTGCCTAAGGTGCTGTGGTTGTGAGTTTCAAGTTCTAAACAGAAAAAGCTTTGCAGAGCAGTTGAAGTTTTGAGGAGCGGGAATGGTTCGACATATTCGGTTTCGCCGGCTTTAGGATTATATATAGTGAATAAAGTGCATGTACTGCAGGTGCAATTTTGGGGATGAGTGAGCATTGTGATGTAAGCAGTTGGTTTGTTTACGATTGGTTTCAGCAACGTTTTGCACTGAGCCGCCTGAATGTAAGGGATGCAGTTGCACCGCCGAGCAATTGCACACCGTGTCATATGGCCTCATTGTCAGCGGGCGTGGCCCCATCCAAGCAACCAATGATGTCCACGGTCTTTCGGGACGGAGGCTCTCAGACCTTTCAGAGCAATACAACAGGGAATGTCAGAGCTTTGGAGGTGGACAAGGCTCTTGCAATGCCTTGTGGTCCGGGTATTTTTACGATGGTCTTTGGCATTTCGCTTCCATTCTGCATACTTATTTGGTCGAGCAGAACCATTCCATTGCAGATTTGGCAACTCCGTCGTCAAGGCTGGCCCTCTACGAGTTGTCATTGCGCCAGGACTACATGGGTCTCACGGGCCCGGTACGCCAGTTCAACAGCATCGAGCCCACAACTACCCCACCGTCATTTGGCGATCGAGATGGTCTTATGCTGCTTCGCCAGATGGCTGGCCCCATTGGCAACGAGTTTGTTGAGGTGGCCCGGCGAACGAGTGCAGCAACAGATTGGCTCGCTGACTTGCGGTGGAGCCCGCTGGATAGCACAAAGATGATCGCTTGCAGTGGGGGAACATGTGATCTCGAAAGTGCATGGATCCCGCGAGATCGCATTGAGCAATGTCCAGCTGGATCAGTCTTTTCGATTGAATTGGGCTGCGTTGCTTGCACACCCGGCAGGTATGCAGATACCAATATGACAGAGTGTCCCTCCTGTGGCATTGGTACCTTTGCGAATGAAACAGGCCAAGCGGATTGCACCCCGTGTTCCCCAGGCAGCTTCAACAACGCCCTTGGTGCCGAAAGTTGCGAGTTGTGCGGCCAGGGTTTCTTTGCCAACACATCAGGTGCATCCTTGTGCAGGAAGTGCGACTTTGACACGTATGCATCAGAGAAAGGCCTTATGTCATGCTTTGCTTGTCCACCAGGCACAACCACAGGCTTCACGGGAGCCGTGGATGTGGAAGCTTGCCAGTGTAAGGGTGAGCTGTGGGACGGAGTGTGCGTGGTGTGCACCGGGGACACACGGTTCGAGGATGGGCAATGCGTCAGCTGTTCCAGGGGACTGGTTTGTGATGGAAGCAAAGAGCCCATGCTTGCTGAGGGATATTGGGCTGCAGCCGATAACCCCTTCAGCGTCTATCAGTGCGTCCCCTATGAATATTGTCCCGGCGGGCTACCAGGGCAGTGTAACGGAGGACGAATTGGGACACCATGTGCGGACTGTCCGCCTGGACAGTCTTGGCAAACAGACGTTTGTGCCGACTGCACCCCGTTCAGCGTGGCAGGATGGCTCGTCGCAGGCCTTGTGGCTGCACTTGGCATTCCAGCGGCCTACTATTTCATGAACACCAAGCAAACCTCGAAGGCTACCACGATGCTCGCTACCTCATGCGGTGTTGGAATGACCATCAACATGTTGCAAAGCATCGGCATTGTTGGATTCATCTCCTTTTCTTGGCCACCTGCTTTGCAAGGGCTGTTCAACTTGATGGGCATCCTCACGCTGGACTTGCAAGCAATCGGCTTCGACTGTGTTTCCTCCAATCCTGTCCCTCGTGCGATTAGTTGCAAGGTTGTCAGAGTCAGGACATCTAAGGGAGAAGCATGTAATGAGATGCTTAGGATTGCGAGCTTTGGAGTGCTCTAAGGCATCGAAATCACAAGGGAAGTCTATTTCGCGAGGACCCCAGCCCCAGCCAAGGTCTTAGGCTACGTTTCTATCACCTCTGCCTTGCCGGCGGCATTGACATGGCTCCTCGTGTTCAGCTTCCTAAGTAAGCTCCTTCCGAGCAAGTTTCGCGTCGAAGTATCGAAAATGCTGAGCACGATGGGGCAATTCTTCCAAGTCAGCTGCTTGGTCCTGCAATATGCTTTCACTTGAACGTGACCGTCAATGCTGAATTGACTAGGGTGCCCGAGACCACACCTCATGTAGCATCATGTAGCTTTTCCTTTCCTGCGGTTACACCCCAACAGCGTATTCTGGAAAGCACGGCCAGAGCCAGCCTGGACCCTTGACCCAAAAGCCAATCATGCTAAAAACCTGCGCATCCGCACGTTGCCCTGCGAAACCCCAATCAGAAAGTCCAACGCCCCCAAATGCGAGTCTTAAGAGTGGCAAACCTCAAAGATGTGCGCCCCGTTGTCCCCAGGCTTCACAATCTACAGCAAGATTGCACTGTCACCCATGATGTGCTACTTCCTTTGCCAATGGGAGGACTTTGAACTTTTTGGCCTTGCATTGTTTTGTCTATCTTGGAAAGGTTGAGCCTTTTTTTGTGCCCTTTTTGTAGCAGAAGAGAGGCTACACCCACCCAAATGGAAAGAGCGGCTTGTTGGAGAACAACGGCATCTTCTGCTTCGAAAGCCCTGAGCACACTCGGATGCTCCTTGGCTCGGTGTTGGGTTATGGGCTTAGGGTTTACAGGATTATCGGGTCCAGGGTTTAGGGTCGTCTTATAGGAAGACCTGAGGCTTCCGTAAAATGAACTCCCAAAACCTATTCTGATTCTTGAGGCTCCTATAAGTTTCTCCATATATGACATAGTCTTAGTCTTGCTTCTGGTAGTCTGTTCTCCTTGATGCTTGTCGATTCCAGTAGAGAGGTCTACGCCGGCTCTTGTAAGAAAGGGCGGCGATGTTCTTACTGCAGATGTGCGCGTTGCAGGATTTGGAATCTGGGTTGGTCGATTTTTGTTTCCAGCTCGTTGGCTTACGAAAGGACAGGGCTTCTCATCGAGAACAGGGAAGTTTAGATCTAACTCCTAAAACGCTACACCCTAAAACTCTGGTGGGGGGAAAAAAAAAGAACTCTAGAACCCTCTAAGCTTTGCGGCTGAATTTCTGGTTTGCCCCAGCTCGAACTGAAGCTGTGGCCCAGTCAATCCCAGCAGCAGGTAACCACCCACCAGGGTTCATAGGTCGTCATAGGATAGGGTTTTACGTGGTTTTATAGAGGTTTTAGGGTTGGGGGTTTAGGGCTTAGGGTTGCGGGTTGGATATGCCGTTTGATGGGCAAGATTCCATAATAAGAAACTACGGCAATAGGAATTCTACATTTTCGTGCACATGATGATGTTGCGTGGGTGTTGCGTGCGCCGGTTGAGATTTGTTTTTTTGCATGTCTTTGCTACTTCTACAGATGAAAGCAGCGCGCGAATCGCATTCGTAAGAGGTGCATGCACACCTTACAGACCCGAACTTGTGTACGCCTGCCATATTGCCTGAAGCCCGACATGTTGCCAAGCGCACTGGAATCGTAGCTGCAAGATGCCAAGTGCAATCGCAGCCGTGTCGTTGATATCCTTAGATTAGTCCTTTAGCCGTTTTTGATCATACTGCCTACACCCTATGCTTCGCCCTAGCCGCTCAAATGTGGCCAGGTTCATCGCCGGACTTTGCACCATCGCTTTGTTGGCGAGCGACTTGGACAGAAACCCTGGAAGCCCAGCTCGATGCTTTTGATCTTATGACGGCCTCAGAGAACCCGAATCTTCAGCACAAGTTTCTGAAGACATAGGCAGTGGCTTGCTCTGCCAACCACATAGTAAACTGTCACGCGACTCTGCAGTTTAGGGTTGCCCAAGAACAGGGTCTAAGTGCGGCAGTAGGGCTTTGTGGGTTTTGATATCAAGTCAAGTGACCTGGACGCAAACAAGCCTAAACCCCAAACCCTGTAAGCCCGTGCGAGCATCGAAAAACTGAGGCGTAAGCTCCAAACTCGATACTCCAAGAATTCCTCGTAAGCGACGGCTTCGGGAGGATCACCGCAGCAATCACCCCTGCGGCCTGAAAAGGCTTTTGCTAAGCGCCTTCCCAATCAGCACAACAACCCACAGCTTCTAACCCTACTTAAAGGGCTCCCAGGACTTGGCAAGTAGGGTTGTAAGAGGGGTCATGAGTGGCCTAAGTAGTATCCAGATTACAATTACAACCATACTTACAAACAACATCGATGAACCCCCATGAGCTTCCACGTAAGCCCCATGCAGCCATGCTTTTGGTCCCACCCGGAATTTCCATTGAAAATTCCTTTCTGGTTTATCCAACACTATATGTAGGATCCCTACACAGTACCCACCCCGCCCGCAGAAAGGAACTACAATGGAGACGATTAGTCTACAGGTAAATCGGCATGCCTAACCCCAAACCCGAAACCTTAGACATCGAAGCCAAAACGCTTCAAGCGACAGTGTAGGTTTCTATTCGACAGCGCTTTGGGCAACGATCCGCGCACCGAAGTATGCCGCCGCTGGCAACGCATCGATACTTGGAAGAGCATGGAGTTTGGGTTTGTGGTGCCAATAGGCTCCATTATAGTTCGTTTTTCTGTTTAGGAATGGGTAAAGGGTTTGGCATTTAGGGTTTAGCGCTTAGGGGGTTAATGGTTTACAGCGTTGCGGGTTTAGGCAGCACTACGGTTTACACGGGTTAAAGGTAATCATGTCTATACCTATAAATGAAATAAACTCGCATGTTGCATATAGAAGCGGAAGTCTGTAAGTAGAGTTAATCCAGAGAGTGTACATACTTGTACCTATATGGACACATCTCTGAATGAAAGGCACTCGTCATAGCAGCCTAGGGTTTTGGCCGCCATTCTCCTGTGAAGTGATATTCTATCTTCTAGCGGTCAGTGCCGCAAACCACCCGGGCTGTCTCGCCCGGTTTTCGGGATCGAGGTAGTCCTTGCGGGAATTTTGGGCCACTCAGCATAGGCTTAAGGGCTGAGCATCGGCCCTGAGGTTTGGGATCGGTCCAGAGAACAGGATGAGGGTCTCGAGAGCCTCTCTGGGTTTCGGCGCAGAAGGTTCGGATAACCAAAGGCCAGGCACACCAGACCGAACCACATATGCTTGCAGTACAGGGCTGTTCTAGCTTGACGTGTACCGCTCTACAAGGGATCCTTTGTCGCACAGCACATACAGAGCCCATAGCTGATAACTAGAAAACAAGCTCGAGACAGAATTCGCGACAGAAGCTAGCCTGCCACCTGAAAACAAGAGATGTTCGGGTCATCAACAAGGTTCATGGCAGCCACGCGATTTCTTCTTTTCCGCTTCCGCACGGACTCGTGGTGGTTTGGTACCTTCATGCAGCTTGGTGAACTGGACATGCTAGTCAGTCGAGGCATGACAGCAAAAACCAGAACCTCAACCATGGACTTGCCGAACTACCTGTGCAATACCGTACATAAATACGTTAGCACACTATAACATACCATCATACCACGATTATACTGTCATGCCTCTTCAACTTCATGTTGCAGCACGGTTCGTAACCTTCCATTTGTCTTTCATGTCAGTGAGCCGGGACCTAACACATTGACACTTGGCGAGCAGGCCATTGTCCACAGTTGCCCAGACCTTCCAATATCCCTTAATCAGGGAACATGCTTTAAACCATGTTGGCAACCCTATATTCCTTGATTAAGGGATATTGGAAGGTTTAGATGGTTGCTTTGGAGTTTCGATTTCAATCCTTTTACAAAGCTTTGGGGTTCTGGAAATTGCGTCAGCGAGCACAGATGCAAGATAAGGTCTTATCGCCCGCATGGGCGTTCTGCATATGAACTAAAGTCAGCATTACGGATAATCGGGAAACGGAGCTTTGTTCAGCAGAGACATACAGTCTAAGATCAGGATCATCTTATGTCCTTTTGGGTTCCGACGAGAAGTTTGCAGGGGGCAACCCCAAAACCCTAAACCCAAAACCTGATGTAGCTGGACCTGTCGCTTGAATCCGTGCCTGCCTTGTGCGAGTGCGCGAGTCGAAACCCCACACCCCAGGCTTAGAGCATTTTACATGAGGCTCCCGCGTGGTCTTTGCCTCTCGATGTCCATAGTCTTGGCAGCGGACAACCCGTACATCCAGGTGCGGTCTGTTGGAGACTATGGCCTTGGTTGGGGCTTTGGGCTTGCTGTTTGGGGTTTTGGGTATTGAGTACGTACTGCAGGGTTCTAGCCGTCCTGGTGAAGCTTCGTTAAGCTGTGCCAGGGTTGCTCTCATTCACTTCAGTGTTTTGCTCTGCTTGTACGATTGCATGATGAGCCACTAGGCGGCTTCTTCGCTGGTTTGAGAAGTATCACATAGACCGGAGAGACAGGGTTCGCAACTAGCTTTCGATATAGGGCATGGCATCGACTGTGGTAGGTTTCGGGAGTCTGATGTACTTGGCTAGTTGGGTCGCTGTACGAGCGCTTTCACCGCATGTAAGCTTCCGCTTCGATATTACCGCTGAGATGGAAAAGTATGAGCAAAGACCAGCCAGAACCCTTGAGCCCTGCCTTTAGCCCTGTAAACCCTGTAAACCCTACATTCTCCAACCCTGAAGCATAGAGCCGCATCCAGCCCTGAATCAGATGATTTTGATCATCTCCGTCATCCTGACCTACATGCTCGTGTGTCTTGGCTGGGGCTCCATGTACCCAGAGACTCCAAAACCCCCTTGATTAAGGAATATATAACTTACTTAGTTTAAAACCGGAAACCCGAACCTGATTTAGAGGGTGTGTGGTTTAGGGTTATTCCTTCGGTTTGGGGTGTTTGCCTCAGCGTCCAAGTACCTAAAATTGGGTTATCCGGTCTTTACCGTCAAAGTAAAAACGCTAATTCCAGAGGTGCACGGGCCCGGCGGGTTCGAATGAAAATGCTTCAGGTACATATAGCATCTAAGCCAACATACAATCCTTCGTGGATCCAGGCAGAGTCCGTGAACTCGGAGAAACGGCTTGACCTGCAACTCTTTGATCTGAATTATACCCTATAGACCCTAAACACTGTAAACCCGAAACCCGAAACCCTATAGACCCTAGACCCGAAACCCTATAGATAAACCCTGTAAACCGTAAGCCCGAAAGCCCAGGCCTTAAACCCTGCAGGCCCTAATCCCTACCTGTAGTCTTCATTGTAGTTCCTTTTCTGGGTTATCCAAGTCTATACATGTAGGGTCTTATAAGGTAACCCCAAAAACGGAGCTACGATGGAGACTGTCGGTACCCATAGGCCCCCAAGGGTAATTGAAGAGCTTTGAGGCAGCTGATCACGTGGCCTTGGAAGCTTCCCGCCCTCAATGCCTTCGATGCCATCGTTTCCTCCGCGATGCTGATGATGATGGCAATTCTGGGCCTCCTGGTGCAGGGCTAGGGTTTGCCTATTTGATAAATCACACCCTGGACCCTATCCCTCTTCTTGGGGTACCCGGGGTACGTGGGTTTATCGTTAGGATCTGTTAGGAAAGTAGGTACCCTAAAAAGGGGTACTGTCGGGTATGACTCTATAGCTAGGCTAGGGTTTTAGGGTTCAAGGTTGACTTTTTTGAGTTGCCCAGGTCTCGATCCGGGAAGAGCTCTGGCGTTGGGTTTAGGGTTTGGGGTTCGTGATATTGAAACTTCGGGGATCGAACCAAAGGGAGGTCAAAGGCGGTTCACCAACTATATTGCTGAAGCTCCAGGTTGAATGCCAGGACATCCTAAAGTAGATTCAGAGGATCCTTCGTTTCGAGACGATGCTTGTTGCTTGTGCAGTCTGTTCTGAGGCCCGATATACAAGCAAAAATACTGCAAAGTGGGCTATGGCTGAACAGTCCTACAAGATCTGGTATTGCCAGATAGTGGCATGAGGACTTACCAGGAACTTCAGCAGGTATGGCAGGGGTCTGCACAAGAAGTATACTACCATCCCCTTACAGTCTCTATATAGCTATATTTAGTATAACATGCCACGAAATCCCGGGGCCCGAAATCCATATCGAAACCATGCACAACAAGCCTTCGCACCGAAACCCTGCAATTACTAATGCGAAGCTAATTAATAAGTCTCCGCCTGGCCAATTCACTCGCAAACCACGGCCCGGTCGTTCTGTTTCCGAGTCTGTGCAGGGCTGGGATTGGCATAGGGTTTAGGGTTTATAGGGCTTAGAGGGTTTTGGGCAAGGCAAAGTCAGAGGGAATTTATCTGAGCTATGTGACAGCTCGCACCTGCTTCGACATCTACAGACTGTAAATCTTGAGATGATCGTTCGTTTTTCATGTTCAAACTGTTCATCATCATTTGGGGTTTCGTAGTTTTCACCCTTGACTTCACTCCTGATTTCGTCATCATGTTGTTATCTATTCAGTGTCGTTTTCCGTTTTGGGAACGGTTCGGGCCCTTTTCCGCCAAACGATGAAAACTGATGAACACAGTCGCAAAACAAGGAGATTTGCTGAGGCTCGACTCGGCTTACGAAAATTCCAAGCGATGAACAGACTATGAACAATGATAGAAAACATATCAATATGATACTGAAATCGATACTGAAAACGAGAACTAACATGTTGATGAAATTGTAAACGATGATCAAAAGCGATGTCCTACATGTGAAAACACGACAAACACATTTTACGGCGACCGCAGTCCCTCCACGCTACAACCTCTAAACGCTATACTCTACTATGTGCTATACTTTAGGGTCGAAAAGCATGTCACGGTTGAATGCCAAGCACCAAGGAGCCTTTGCTCCAGAGCTCGATGATGTCTTAAAGGAGCAGCTCACGGATTTTGTCATCGGAATTGTGATGTTCCTGCCGCGCAGCTGAATCTTTCTTGTGGTGATGTTCGGGTAGAGGCCAGGGTCTGGAGAGTACTGCGCAACGACAGCTTTCTCGAGCGATGGAAGGTCCCAGAGCCCGCCAGCCATGGACACAGGCTTTTACTTCCTTTGCCAACCATACTCTTGGAGTTTGAGCCTGCATCCCTGCTGCCCCTGCTTGCTTATGGGTTTCATTCCAACCTCAAGAAGGTTTCGTTGCATTGGCAGCCAACATCAGCATCGCAGTCGTTAGGCTTCTACTCGACGACTTTCGACTCTCCAGTGCTCCTGATGCTGTGAGCTTAAAGCCTGTGCAGCCCCTGAGATCCTCAGGAATTGCGTCGTCGTCATCATGCTTTGCATGGCTGCCTTCGGCTTGGTCAGATGCCTTGCCGCATTGTTTCTTTTTTCTTGCTGGAAGGGCAGTGGTCTGGGGGTTTGGGCGGTCAAAATGGGGGGGTCTGACATCCATCAAGAAAGCTACTCTCTTATAGTCCATACATACATATGAATATATATATATATATATTTCATATTTAGTTTTATCTGTTTATCTATTTAGTTTTTATTTGTATTTATCTATATGTTTATATTTATATTCATGTTTATGTCTATATACCGCCACATTACAACATACCCAGAAATAAGGCTGCCAGGTTTGGTCGTTTCGGGTATAGGGCATAGCAGCAGGTTCGGGCAAAGCAATTTCAGGGTAAGGATGGTCTAGCGCAAGATCGTGAATGAGAGCTTCGTGAAGAATGGTTGTGGTAGGGAGTCGCAGAAATCGCAAGTCGAGCAGCAGTAGCAGGGCAGCAACCATCAGGTTAGTGACTGAGCAAGAAACCTCTTGGATGCTTTCTGGTTCGACAGCAAGCTGTATACATTGTTTCGTCAGAATACCTACTTGAGCTTCGTTCGTGGCATCCCTTTCTGAGTCTTGCCATAAGAGTGGTGTGGTCGTGCTTCTGGGCAGCTGAATGCGGTTTGGACCCCGGGTCTTCGCATGATTCGGTTGACAGTTCGGGCATGCAGCCTGCTCCAAGCCTGGCACATTTCACCAGCGCACATTCACGACCCCATGTTCTCTCCTGGTAGATCAGTGTAGACTCCTGTGCATATCGCGTTTCGCTCCAATCCCGGACACTGAAGCTGCGAAGGAGCATTTTAAAAATTTTACAGACTCCCTGAGCGCCTGAGGATTAAATACCATGGGCGGCTCCAACGAAAACTGGCTTCTAGCACTGGGCGCCGTTCCGCACGGAGTGGTAGGAAGATTCTCTTCATGCCATCTTCGCAAGGACTAGCAGTAGTTCTCATCGTCGCCATCGCAGTAGTAGCAGCAGCTATTCCTACCCTCCTCTCGATGTCGATGGCTACTGGAGTGCTAGCGCCACTGCCGTTGTTGCTGCCAGTACCACCGCCGCTACTGAGTTATTGCTGCCGCTTCAGCTGACGACGACCAGAAGAGTACGTAGTAACAGTCAGCAGTGTATCTTTCGTCGTCGTGAGAGGTGAGTCCTGATAGTCGTCTGTCTATCGCACGACTGCTACGACGACTACGGCCATCATCACATGCACTTCTTGCGACGGCGACGACGACCTTTGTTTCTATCGCTTGTTTTGTTTTTCTCTCTCGCTCTCTCTCTCTCTCTCTCTCTCTCTCTCTCTCCCTCTCCACGTCTCTACGTCGCAAATACTGTTATTGTTTGGCTTGTAATCATCTTTGGCAAGACCAAGATGGGACGACGACGACGACGACGACTACT